TAGATCACCAGGACTTTCTTCTGAGGCACCTCTGAGTGGATTTGAATTGCCAGTCTTTTAGTTGGTAATCAAATGTGGTAACTATAAATTGTTAATCATTCAGTTAGCAGCCCAACACTTACCTACGGCACCATCAGAGTTCCTTTATAGAAAGATAAGGAAGTGCTTTCTCATTGCTCCAGACATACAGTGTAAGTTTCTAATTCTTCTCATATATAAACCCAGGTTGGAACCAAGAAAAAAGTGGTAGTAAAGGGTTTTAACATTGGTAAGAAGTCTGAGAACTGGCCTCAGGGACCAGAGTTAAGCATAAATAATTAGGGAAAGAAGGCAAAAATTAGGAAGAAGTCATGCTGAGCCCTCTCTTCTTTGGCTTAATATTTCCTGTTTTGAATGAGCAATGCAAGAAAAGTATTCTACACATTCCAGCTACACTTGCTAACAGTGGAATAACAGGGATCTACCTCTGGGAAGGGCTACAATGTCTCCACTTGACACTCTCCTGCCTTCTCTCTCCTTCTGGCTAACCCACCTGCATACTGAAATGTTGGTGGGTGATCTACAATGAAAACCTTGTAACATTCCCATTTCTGTACTTACCTCTTCAACAGCTCCCACAGCCTTCGCTTTAAAGCCTGAGTCATGAGCAAATGTCTTGACCTTTTGTTCTCTGGTCCCTGCTCACCCTCCAGTGGACCCCTCCATTCTTTAGAACCTCAGTCATTTAGGCCTGTGCAACAATCTCCATGTATACACACTGTTTCCTCCCACCAATGCAGAGCACTGGAGCTTCCAGAAAGTTCTGAGAGCCTTTCAGCTCTGGTAGTGCCCCTAGCTACTGAGCATCAGCATTCACCCATTTGGAGATGCAGACAAGACTGCCCTGTACCCTTCAAGGCAGTGGAAGGAACTGGAAGGGTTTGAAAAAGAGATGGGATCTCAAATGGGAAGTAGTTACAATCTCAATGAAGTTAGCATGATCTGAGGGAAATAGGCCAAGGCTGTAACTTTAACATTATCATTTCTAGTGATCTCCATTTCCCTGGTGTGATGGGTGACCCACTTCCAAACTGGACTCCTTAGAGTCCAAGGGCTAAAAGTACAGTGCTAAATGTTTCAATCAGAGAATCAAATTTATAGCTCTCAATAACCCCATGAAGCAGGCATTATCACTATCCCCCATTGGTGAGGAAACTGAAGAACAGAAAGCTTAAGTCTCTTGCCCAGAGTCCCACAGATGAAATTTGTAACCATGCTTTCTAACTCTAGAGGCCACACTATTGACCACTGAACCGTCCTGCTTTTGAGGCAAAGTCTGCTCAAATGCCCATGAAGGGTCTGATCTCCCAGACTCCCTTATAGTTTGATACCATATAACTGAGTTCTGGTCAGTGAGATATGATTGCCAGTTGTTGTTGTTGTTGTCAGGTGCTTTCGAGTCAGAACCGACTCATAGCGACCCCATGTACAACAGAACAAAACAATGTCCGATCCTGGGCCAGCCTCACTACTGCTGCCACACTTGAGTCCATCAATGCTGCCACCTGGCCAATCCATCTCGTTGGGGGTCTTCTCTTTTTCTCCGACTCTCCATCTTACCAAGCATGATATCCTTCTCCAGTGACTGTTCCCTCCTGACAATATGTCCAAAGTATGAGAGACAAAGTTTAGCCATTTTGGCCTCAAAGGAGCACTCTGGCTACACTTCTTCCAAAACAGATCTATTGGTTCTTTTGGCAGCCCATGGTACTTTCAGTATTCTCCTCCAACACCGTAACTCAAAGGCATCAATTCTTCTACGATCTTCCTTACTCACTGTCCAGCTTTCACATGCATATGAGGTTATTGAAAATACTATGGCTTGGGTCAGGCGCACCTTATTCCTCAAGCTGACATCTTTGCTCTTCAACGCTTTAAAAAGATCCTGTGCAGCAGATTTGCCCAATGCAATACGTTGTGTGATCTCTTGACTGCTGCTTCTGCAAGTGTTGATAGTTGATCCAAGAAGAATGAAGTCCTTGACAACTTCAATCTTTTCTCCATTGATAAGAATGTTGTTTAT